CTGTAAATGCTGGACTATTTTGTACTTTTGATGAGAAATCGGTACTTTGGATTCTTCATATTCCTTTTTTCAATCTCTTTTCTCAATTTATATATATATATATATATATATATATATATATATAGCCTGTATTATAATCTCTATTTCCCTTCCTAATATCTTATTTTTGAACTTGTAAATATGTGCTTTTAAAAAATGATCTTCGGTTGGAACGCTTGCACCCACTCATTATTTCATGAAACTATAATACATCTAATTGCTATTCTTAACTTGTTTATTTTCCATTCAATCATCATTTTTCTCAGTTGTTACTACGCTGGTCTGCTTACATTTAATATCGTTCCATGGTCTGAATAATTTTTACCATTTGGCTACTCCGACTCCATTGGCTCTTTCGATTAAGCTTCCTGATTTGCGAGTTTGTGCAGCTATCGATGCTCGAGATACAAAAGTTTTGAAATCAATAAGTACACCTGAGTGAATTCCTTATTTACTCGGTTGCACGAATCTCAATTACCTTTTCCCAGGAAAAGCACTTTGCTGCGCATCTGCGATAGAAGCCGGATACCCCCGTCTGCATTTTGACCCTTTTCTGCACGTGATCACTTGCTTCCTCGTAACTTCAAGCTTTGTGCCCGGCTTGGCGGCTTATATAATTACAATAATTCTGGTTTATCCCACCTCTGCTATTGACGCAACCGATGTGGGGAGCACAAGTCTGAAATCCGTCCTTTCCCCCTATGACAACTTCGAATGTTATCCAAAAATGTAAAGTTCTATCAGCACAGATGTGGTGAGAGTATCCTGAATCACAAAGGACTTTCAGAACTTCATTTAATCCTGCCATCTTTCGGCTGCTGGCAGTCCTAGGTATTTCCTTTGAAGCTTTATTGTGAATTTGGGTAGTGACAGGGGCAAAATGTATGTAGCTAGGTGGTTGTAACTTGGATAGAGTTTATTTTTGTCATACCAATGAGGGTGGATGAGCGGGTGAGAGAAAATTGTAACAATACAGCCAGGGTAGCCTATTTGAGTTATTTATCCGCATAGAGGGGAGGCGTCGTGATGTGATGAAGAGGAGACCCGATGTGCTGACTTGAAGTCGTCACGGCAGTCGCCTTGCTCCCGCGGAGTAGGGGTGATCCTGAAGATGAGGACTCAACGGTACAGCCGCAGGGGGAATTTGCTTGGGGCGTGAACGTTGGAGGAGTTCGGTCCTCATGCAAAATCCCGAATGGATTTTTGCAAACCACAGATGTAAGGTA